TTTCCCTCCCTCCCTCTCCTCCTGCTTTTCCCTCTCCCTTCCCACCCCCTCCTACCCTTTTTATTCCACATCTAATCCACACCAAATACTGTACGTTCCACCTGCAAAATCCATCCAGAATGTAAGCAACGCTGATCACTTCTCTGCCACCACGCTGATCCCAGCCACCACTGTCTCTCCCTGATGCCCCTGCACCTGCCAAGGTGTTAGGACACAACATGTCTCTTCTCTGCTCAGAGGCCTCGGGCACCCTTCCACCTGGTTCAGAGTACAAGCCATAGCCCTCATCACGACCACAGGTCCTAATGACCTTCTCTGGCCACTCGTCCCCCCTTCCTCATGGGCCTGGTGTCCAGCTCACCTGCTCCGTTCCCTGCTCTGTACTCCCATGGAGCCCACCAGGAAGGCTTCTGCCTCAGGGCCTTTGCACTCACTGCTCTCTGTACCTGAACCCTTCCTTTTCCAGATAACTGCATGTTTAACTCCTAACCTCATTCTAATGCTCCAGAAACTTCATCTTTCCAGACATCCTGTTCAAAACTGAACCCCTGCATCCATCCCCAGGCCTCGCTCTCTATCCACCTTCCCTGCTCAGTTTTTCTCCATCAAACATTTAGTAATTGTCTAGGACACTATATATTTTGCTTGTTTATTTTGTTGGCTGTCTTTCTTACTGCTCTAGCCCTAGGTCAGGGCTTAGAGCTTAGCTTCTCAACTCCTATCTGCTGAACAAAGACATGTACATAGCCAGGGTTTGTTTGTTTGTTTAAGAGGAAAGTACTTTAAAAGATAGAATTGTTCCACAACAAAGTACCTATAAACTCCCAAGCCACTTTGCAAAATTCAACAGAAGCAACCACATTTGCATATTTCCTTTATTGTAACTGTGGACAGTTCCAGAATTGTTCAGTTTGCATCTATTTAAAAAGGAACTACAGGGACTTCCCTGGTGGTGCAGTAGTTAAGAATCCGCCTGCCAATTCAGGGGGCATGGGTTCGAGCCCTGGACCTGGAAAATCCCGTATACCGTGGAGTAACTAAGCCTGCTTGCCACAACTACTGAGCCCACGAGCCACAACTACTGAAGCCCATGTGCCTTAGAGCCCGTGCTCCACAACATTAGAAGCCACTGCGATGAGAAGCCCGCGCACCGCACCGCAATAAAGAGTAGCCCCGCTTGCCACAACTAGAGATATGAAGCAATGAAGACCCAAAGCAACCAAAAATAATTAAATAAATAATTTTTTAAAAAAAGGAACTACATAATTTTCTTGGCCTTGGGCACCTTTCGTCTAAGCAATCGGTAAAAGGATTACCCTGTTAGGTCAGTGGTTTAAATGCAGGCACTCGGGATGAGAGTGGCTGTGGTTTAAACAGACTTTTAACCTTTTAACGTCTTCCTCAGTCCTGCTTCCTGAAAAGGAATCAGTCTTCAAGGCATTTTTTAGGAGTGGTTGAAATTTGATATGGAGACATTCTCCTGGTTAAATTTAGTTTTGCAAAGTGCTGGACAATTAAAAAAATTTTTTTTTAAAAACAAACTTGCTGAGTGAATTCCGTCACGTGCCAGGCAGCGGGCTAGGTGCTGCAATCAGCGCACTGCCCCTCAAATCCTGCTCAGAAAACACCGGTGTTTCAAGTGGGGACAGCTTTCCGCAAACCAACACGTTTATTCAAACACACACTGATCGAGCGGGGACTGCGTTCCAGTTCTAGGCACTTGGGAGACACCAGAGAAAGGTACAAAAAGCCCCGCCCTCATGGGCTTATGTTCATAGGTTTACTGAATGAGGGAGCCTCCCAGAAAGGTCTAGTGAGCTGGGGGATACAGAATTAGCTTAAAAGACGCTCCCTCTCCCTAGGGAAATTTAAACTACCGGAGGAGCGAGGTATGGAGCAGGGCTGGTGGTGACGTTTGCCCGAAATCCCTTCTGGCCTCACCAGGATGGTGAATTCATCCACTGCGTCCTGACTCAAAGCTTTCTTGAGCAACTATTATGTGCTGGAGACTCTTCACCAGGTAGAGCGAGGAGCAACACAGAAACAGTTCCTTCCTCATACGGCTTACTTTCCAGAGAGGGATACTGCACGGAGAATAAGCAGCGTAACTCTATTACAGAGTGGTGAGAAAATAAAGCTGGGTAAGGACTTGGAGGGAAAGGGGGCGGGCGAGGTACTGTAAAAAGCTTAGGAGGGGGTGGGCAGTAACGGTGGGCAGAGCTCCGATTTGCGGGGCAGGAAACACGGAGCAAGGCAGGAGTTGAGCAAGGCCGGTCCTCCTCGGCTGAGACGCCCTCACCCCACCCGCGCGCGTCTGAGTCTCAGCGCGCCGCCCCCGACTTCTGCAGGGAACCCGAGGACTCGGCGCGGCCTCGGCAAACAGCGCCCCCCGGTGTTCACACTAGAGCATCACCATTGTCTCAAATAAGTACCGAGTCCCACAGGCCGAGTGTGTTAGAAGCATTTCGAGGTTCACTCCATGAAGGAAGGAAGATGGAAAGCTTTCGTTAGTCGTCATCGCAACTGCCAAAGTCAAATTTTCACTCCCAAGTTTTAAGTGGCGTTGGCTGTCCACTTCTCAAATAGAAAACAGCATAATCGTCTTCTTGCCAAAGTGACCGAAACAAAAGAAAAACGGCACTAGCAAGCGCCCCTCCGTCCTAATCACCAACAGTCGGAGGACGGGTCCTCGCAGACCCTCACTCCAGAAAAACTCCGTCCGCCCGGCCCCGGGGCCACACTTGCACCCACGGAGGAGGAGAGCCTGGGGGGCCGGGCCGGGGCGTATCCCCCGCGGGACCCTGAGGTCAGCAGGCCCGGGCCGCGTCCCTGCGCGGCGTCCACCCCCGACCCGCCTCCTCGGACGCCGCTCTCCATCCGCCAGCCGCCCCGACCTGGTGCCCGACTTGGCGCTCCTA